GACGAAAATCGAATGCAGTGTGAATCCAACATTATGTATTTCTTACAGTCCATCAAACGCTTCAAAGCATTGGCTGCGTTCAGCAGACTCAACAGTTTTGCAACCGTTTTATGATTGTCTGCTGAGATAGGACCATTCTTCTAGATCTAAAAGTATGATCCAATTAGCGCGAAGGAAACTTCCAACAGTTGCAAAACAAACGTTCTGCTGAACGCAGCTATGTTATTCCTATCACTATTGCTATTCCCTCGCATTGTGTCTTGGGCTTAAGTGAGCGCTCGCTGCTAATTTAACACGACCACTCACTGGGTGCATTCAGTACTATAGCTACGTTTACACCGTGCATTGGCTATGTTTACACCGTGCATTTAGGCCGCGGCCTATACAATAGACATCCTTGTTTATCCTGTATATTAAACAAAGACACCTATCTATAGGTCGCGGACTAAGCGCACGGTGTAAACGTAGCCAATCAGATGCAAGACCGGTTGTAGTACTGAACGCACCCATTGATGTATTCTTCTGGATCTAAAATTCTGATTGGATGATTTTTAAAAATACACCAATATAGCGATGTCAGTTTGATGGTCCGCTGAATGCGCCCAATAGTGGCACGTAAAAAATCGACCAGATCTCCATCTGTCGGCTATACGTAAAAAGACTTTTTCCCTAACCCAATATATCCGACAGCGCCATCGTCAGTATCAGGCCACCAGTCGGTGCTACAAAAATATTTTGACAGCTGATTCTGTTGCACGTGTTTCACTCGAAATTCTCGTTAATAATTGTTAATAATGGTTTATTATTTCATTAGCGAAGGTAACTTTTGCATTTCTAAGACCTTTATTTTTTTTAGGAGGTTAATAACATAGGTTCTCTTAAATTATTGATAATAATATTTTGTTTTCATTAAGAAACTTGACTAATTGTTATAATCTTGAATTGCAGTTGTGCAACCACCCATCACTTTGTTTATGGGAATAGATAAATTCGAGAGTAAGTGGAAAACTCATTTATAATTATTCATCGTAATTAATAAAAACTTGTAAAAACACATAATCTAAAATGTGATTCATTTGATTCTGTTTGTATAGATGAAGATCTTATTAAATGGGGTTGGCCTGAGGATGTGTGGTTTCACGTCGACAAATATTCGTCTGCTCATGTGTATCTTCGACTTCGACATGTGAGCTTAATTATTAATTAGTAATTTCCTGCTTTTGATATTAAAGAATGATAAAATAATTCTTTTTGAAATTGCAGGGTCAGACAATAGACGATATTCCTAGTACTGTATTAGAAGATGCCGCACAATTAGTAAAAGCAAATAGTATCGAAGGGAATAAAATGAATGATGTCAATGTTGTGTACACAATGTGGTCGAATTTGAAAAAGACGCAAGGTATGGAAGTTGGACAGGTTGGCTTTCATAAAGATAAAGACGTTCGTAAAATTCATGTTGCTAAGCGAGTAAATACTACTGTGAATCGTCTTAACAAGACGAAACGTTCAGAGCAAGTAAACTTTAGAAATGAGAGAGAACAAAGAGATAAGAACGAACGGGAAGACAAGAAGAAGCTTTTGAGAGAACAGAAAGAGAAAGAAAAGGCAGAAGAAAAGCGACGTCAGGAAGAAGCAGAGATGAGGTGAATCATAATTTTATAACAATGTTTATTTAATAGAAAAGTATATACTAGATATATAAATAATATATAAATAATATAAAAATTATTAATACAAAATTATTACTTTTCAGGAGTTACAATTCCCTGTTTAATACATCTAACATGACTTCAAACACAGAAACTAGTGGATATGACTCAGACGATTTTATGTGATGAAGTTAATATTTATATTTGCAGTCCGTGCCTCACTCTATCATTTCCAATAAAAGGAGAAAATTCCAGAATAAGAAGTGTAAAATATCTTTCAAGTATGATTATTTATTTGATTTATAATATTTTACAAATATTGTACTTGCAAAATTATAGAAATATGCAATTGTAAAATTAGTGTACACTATGTTTGTCTGTATAATAGAAGATTGTTTTGTCATTCAAAAATTTCTAGAACATACTATGTAATCATAATCGTCATGTTGTGCTGTTGACAAATAAGATTATTAATAGTTTTTGCATACTTATATATAATAACTCGCAAGTACTTAGGTATATTGCTATAATTTCAACATAATGAAAAAAAATAAGTTATAAAAATAAGATACGGGAATAAGTTATAAAAACCTTCGTGTAGACAGAAATTAAAAAAAAATGTATTGTCTAGAGAAGGATGTAACGGTACAAATCAATGGTATCCTATTTTATAATAGGGTAACATTGACAGCCCGTAAAGCATTAATTATCCATGTTGGATAGTCTTTATTCGGATAAACTATCAACATATAGTCCTGTATGAATCTAGGGAATCTTTGTTCTTTAATACTGTCTCTGATATCTCGCATGAGCTTCATTTGGAATGCAATATTGTGAACGGTTAATAGATGACACGATACTGTCTCCACAGTGGCGATTTGATGTAGATAAGCGCGAGAATAAGTCTTGCAAGTACTACACTCGCACGACTCGTCTATTGGTCTCGAGTCTTTTTTATTTTGTATCTGCTTCAAATTAAGCTGTCCCGTTTTTATCAATGCGCAACCAAATCTCTGAAAGTTTCAATTTAATGTTTTGAAATTTCCATTTTCTACGTATTTAAGTATGTATTTTACGAAATACTTACAGCGGTTCTTGTCGGAAATACACAATCGTACATATCAACACCTAACGCACTGCATACGATTAAATCTATTGCGAATCCAACACCCATAAGATATCGCGGTTTATTCTTTGGAAGGATATTCGTTGATAAGTGGACCATTTTCCAAAAATCATCTTTGCTCTCACCGCCACTAAAATTATTATAAGAATTACTATTATTGTATTATGTAAGATTTAAATATTTTTGTATTATAAACAAAAGTCTTTATTTATCAGTTATATGTATCAGCAAATAATCCAGTATCTACCTCAAACCTCCTATAGCGTATCCATTCACTTCCCGCTTAATTAATTGACGTGCGCATTCGGATCGTAGTTCGGGATTGAGACCACCTTGTACAATTGGAAATATACTTTGCTCATCTGGTCTTTCATGCGCTAACAAACAACGATCCAGCCAACGTATCGTTCTGAAATGGTTTGTGTTAAATAACATTTTTAAGCCAGGCTATTTAGATAATATATTATTTAGAAAATGTGTTTACAAAAATAATTGTACCTATGCATTGCTTCTTCTACTCTTGGTCCAGTTAAAGTACTTTTAACAACATCATCGAGCTGCATGATTATGTCAGCTCCAATTGTATTTTGAATTTGAATAGAATGTTCGGGTGTCAACATACATTCAGATTCTATATGAAACGTTATTGTAAACATTATTATAGGCCGATTAAATTATATATAAGTTATGTTTGAATGTATTTAAAAATATATCTCTCTGGCTATATATATCATAGTACCATTGTACGGTGATTTAAATTTTACACCTTCTTCTGTTATTTCAGCTAGATGTAATAATGAAACCATTTGGAAACCACCTGAGTCCGTTAATAAAGCCCTTTTCCAATTCATAAACCTGTGCAAACCTCCAGCTTTACGTAGAATATCTGCACCCTGCCAATATAAAGTATATATATATTTTAATACAATCAAAATTACATAAAAAAAATTTACTAATAAATTTAAAACTCAATGATACTGTTTTATCTAAATTAATCGAATTTTTTTTTCTAACGAAAATGTATAATTTCTTACAGGTCTGTTTCCAAGATGATAGGTATTGCCAAGAATTATTTGGCAATCCAGTTGCTCCAGTTGTTGGGGCAACAATCCTTTCAATGTTCCCTGAAAATGATATAATAACAAATTTAATGTTGTAACTTTAAAGTCATGTCCATGATGCTAAAAATCACTCCAAGATTCAGAAAAAGAAAAAATTAAACAATTGCATTAGACAAATTCAATTGTTGAAATATGATTTGCTAATTCTTGCTCCGTCCAAGACTTTAGAATGATTTCTAGCATTGTGAACAGAAGGCTTTACACAAATTGAGTCATATATTTCAAAAATTAAAATTTTTAAGTTAAATGTATATTTTAGTTCAAAAGAAAATATTGAAGCACACATATTAATCATAATAAAGCATTGATAGAAAAAAAAGTAGAAGCTTGTTTACAAATTAAGCTACGAATACACACACACAAGTGAGATTTTATCAATACAATTTACTACAATTGCAAGAATCGTAGACTTTAAACAAAATTTAGTTTCAGATGTTATCAAAATATTTAGTACTGAAAATTAAGGAGTTATCAGAATTATCATCCTTTCGTGTAGATTTTGAATATAAAAACCTAATGTTCTGATGTGTCACATGGTCGCTTCGTGTGCAGCTTAAACAAGAAGGGAAGAAGTTTTATAAACCTGAGTTCCCACCGGCATGAATACCGGTGTATCCACATAATGATGAACAAGTGTCATCCTGCCAGTTCTGGCTTTTGTGGTTTCACATTCGGCAAGCACTTCGAAGATTAACGGAGTCTTTCGATTTGCCATTTCTACTGATGATCTACCAAAACCTACGTTTATCGTCGTGGAATACGACTTGTAAAAAAATCTGCTGGACATAGAGAGAAAAAAACCTATAAATGCTGCATGTTCAAAATGAGAGGTTATGTTACGATATCATTCTCTCCACGTGTCTTTGTCCCGGCTTGAAATAGTTGAAATGTGTGTTCTGTGGATGTGGACTTATGAGACACCCCGTATATTAATGTGCGTGTAAATAGACTTGCTAACCGCGTCGCATGTTCGAATTGAACGAGACATACCCGACAATCGCAATTACCCGCGATACGATCTGCAGATGTTTGCGCTATGACGGCCCGGCGCGGTGTTAATGCACGAAACATCATCTCCAGGAGAGATTTGCTTCGCGATAGTGTTCGACGGTAACGGTTAGCTGGCAAACATGACAACTGAGGTGTCCTGGAAGCGGCGTCTTCTACGAAAGAAGATTAAGTACATGCTGGTGTGCGTCTTCGTGGTCGCCGTGATATTCGTGATCCATCAGCTGTTCTACTTCAAAGAGCTGAACCAAGATACCGTAGGCAAGCTGATTGCCGGCTCGGTGAAGGACACTCACCATGTGGTCATCGGCAAGCGGGTTGACAAGTGGAATCAACCATATCATTCGAAACTCATTCGCGACAAGAATGGTCGAACGGTGTCGTTACGTGGCACACGAGACCAGGATATAGCCAAGTACCTCCCCAACATCAACGGGAAATTTGTATGTTTTGTTTCAAAGAGAGAGATTGATTTTGTAAAGATCAATGATGATTATTGTGACTGTCCAATGGACGGTAGTGATGAACCAGGTACTAATGCCTGCAACAATGGTTTCTTTAATTGCGAGAAGAGTTCAAGAAAATCAGCAGGTATTGTAGTCAAATCTCTTTGCAATATATAAAATTTGCAATGTTCGAAGCTACACAACAGAAGTAATTTATGAAATTTGTATAAATTTGCAGTAAGAATACCATCGTATAAAGTCAATGATGGACATTGTGATTGTTGTGATGGTTCTGATGAATGGGCTGAAGCTGCAGTGTTGTATAAACTCAGTAGTAAGTTCAATTTATTTATATGAATATTATAATTTAGGTGAATGTATATGAAATAATTATATCTATTGTATTTGCTAATTTAAACTTGTGTTACTTATTATTTGTATTTATTACAGAATTAAAAGTAACTTTTTATGGACCTAAATGTCCAAACAAATGTTAGTGAAGAAAATGAGGTATAATTCAGATTGGAAAGAAAGTACTTCTGAATTTATGCATCGTAATAAGAACGACAACAACCAAATATACATGATAGATAAATGCTTAGAATATTTTAGATTTTCATGAAAGTATATTTATTTAATCATACATAAAACAAGATTTATATAGTGAAAATGGTCGCTCAATATTGTAAAAAAATGATATATGAGATTCTTCAAGTTAAGAAATTATTCTTAAACTTAATGAGTTAAAAAATTATCATTAAATCATTATTTTTTTACTTTTAATATGTTAATTACTTTTAATATAACTAACATAAGAAGAGAATATAATTTCTTATTTTTCTTTTATTTAAATGAAATTGAAAGGAACAATTTACTAATATATTTAAAAATGGTTATGGAAAGAAAGAAGCATTAGATTTAAGAAGGTATATTTGAGTTAGTAAATAAATGATACAAGTTTTTTTCCAAACTCATAGAGCATTACATTTATTTATAAAGAATAGGTATCTCAACGATTAACGTAATAAGAACTGTAACTATGTACGCAAAGATAGTCTTTCTTTACACAGATATTCCTCTGTTGTAATATTATGTACTCAGTACTATTCAGAGTTTACATATTATTTTATTATAAATATATTTTATCGTAAAATACAAAAAAATTATATATATTTTTTTGTATTTTCTGTTTCCTACTTATGAAAATAGATATTATTACTAGGGATGCACTGGATCGTAAAATTACCGGATACCGAATATCCAGGAAGGCAATTTTTCGAGTTGGATATCTAATATTTTCTAGAAATCCGACTGAATTCCGGGACAATGTCTTCTAAAAAAAAGCTCAGTAAAAAGAGAAAAAAGGGAGCAAAAGGAACTGTATCCTTAGAGATGATAACTACAGAGAAAAAAATGGTTATTTTGCAATAATGTAGAAGATATTATAGCATTACGAGTATGCATATACTTTATTTATGTAATAAAAAACATTTATATAATAAAAAAATCATCAATTTAATGATATAAAATTTCTACCGGATATATTATATAGTAAAAAAGTACCGGATACCGGATACTTTTCAGATATCTGGTGCATCCCTAATTATTACTAATAATTAAAAAAGAAAATACGTAATTAGATTTGTATAAAAAGAAAGAACAATAACAGCTTTATCATATTGTCTCAGATTGTTAAATAAAATAAATACATTTATAGTTTTTATTAGTTTTAATTAGTGATTGTTCAAAGATATTATACATATCACATAAGCAACAAAACAGTATAATAAAAAATTGTACAACGTAATATTGTATGTAAATATACAGTTTATAATATTTAACAGATTTCTATTATTTATAGGACTAGAGATTAAGAGTATATTATTAAAATATAAATAATATTCAATATGTACATTGCGAAAATAGATTCTGTTAAACTTTTTATAAATTATGAAATAGTTCGCAATACAGAAATATCAATTATAATATTGTCGACAAGATCATATTTTTTACATGACTTTATACTTCATTTTGATCCTGATGATGTAAAGAAATTGCGATCTATTTTATGATTCATAGACAAATGCTTGATTATTTAGAGAACAATACGAAAATTTAGAGAAGAATACGATAGTTTTACTGCATGTTACTTCTGATATCTGTAAGAACATTGAAATGCGATGAGAGGCTTCGCGCTTTATCACCAAAATGTAAAGTTTGTTGTACAGATACTCCCATCCTTTGTAAGGTATCATTGAAGCTCTTTTCTTCCATTTGAATCCATGGTCGGTGTTTATCTTGCATTTGATACGGCGTGACATGTATGTGAGTATTTATTCCTGAAGAAGATATATTTAATCACATTATATAAAAATAATATATTGAAAAATCTCACTACTTCGAAATAGTTCCAAATTATCTCACTTAATTTGGCAAAGGAACGAAGTATATCTTCATTTGTAATCCATGTATTTTTGGGACCATTGTGTCCACCATCTAACCACCACATATCTTTGATAAGTTTGATAAAATTATTTATATTGGGATCGTTATTTGAATCATTATTGTAATGATGAAATTCATAAAGAAACTGATTCAAAACTGCACATCCCTTACTGAAGCCCATTAGACTTAAGTTTGTAGCTTCGATATTATAGATACCAGTATCCTTAAAAATATTAAAATATTATGTATTCAATAGATCAATGTTATATTCGATGCATGTAATGTATTATATCTTTTGAGAATATTGTCAAGGTACAAGTTATAACTACAGTTATACATACATTAAAGTTGGAGGAAGTTATATGATTTATAAAATTTTTTATGAATTGTGATTCGTTTATATCTGATACATACTTCTCCAATTTTTAATGTTTTAACATGTTCTAAGCAACAAGTAAGAAGATCTTTTAAATGCCTTAAAGCATTGTACATTGGACAAAATGTAGGTGTGCCATATGTATCTCCTGATATGAAATTATCGAAACAACTGAATACTGCGTGTTTAGTTATTGTCATCCTGAAACAAGTACCAAGTTCTTACATACTAAGTAATTCGATCTAAATATAGCAGTCAAGAGAATTACTTTGAATTCTTTTAACCTTTACTATATATAATTTTTATGTAGTACCTATAAGAAGTTATATGTCTCAGAATAGAAATATTGTAATACTTTTGTGCATAGTATTATGATAATAATATCTTACCTTGATGGACGAATAACAAATACATGGCTTCCAGGAAACTGTTCAGATAGTATAGTTGCTGTGTTCTCTAAGCTCCATTTTGTATATTTCTTGCTATCCGAATGCTTTTCCATGTTTTTTTGAATATCCTGTAATAATTTTTAATAATTTTGTTAATATAAATATATCATATTATAAAATCAATATGAATATAATGCCAACAAAAATCGCTAAAGTATATAAAAGATATATACAGTTAATAGTTCTAAAATATAATATCTTGTATATTCTATATAATTATCTTTAGTGCAATACAACAAATATTTTACATTACATTTGAAAGAATAGGAATTATTACATAATTTTTTAAAAACGAAAACTCACAAGTGTTTTCGAACGTACATACTTGGAGGTCGCCGCCAAAAAATATAAGAAGATCGTGCGTTGACTGCAGTTTCGACCGTGTATAAACTACATCGTTGCATCGACCTGGAATGCCCGGTATGTTTTTCCATATCCAAATTTTCGAGCCCATCGGTCTCTATCTGCAAGAGGAAATCAGAAAGGAGTCGGCGTTTTCGCAAAAATGGAGCATTGCTTAACAATCTGATAATTGGAGCAAATTACTAATAAAAATGGCATTGTAAATCGATTGCGTGAACAATTGTGCAAAATTGTATACAAACTTACATACGAAATTGCGTCGTAACTACGGAGCTACGAGGTCTATTTGGTCTATTTGTTTTGGTTTGCGTTTTCCTGCCCTTTTTGTGTTCAAAGTGACAGATGTGATTAAAGCCCGTATCAGACTACCGACTCTGCAAGCCGACCCGACTGCCAACTCTGGCTGTTGATCAATAATGGACCAATCACATTGAATCAGTCATATTGTGATTGGTCTATTATTGATCGGCAGTCAGAGTTGGCAGTCGGGTCGGCTTGCAGAATCGGTAGTCTGATACGGGCTTTAGGGTACGATTCATTTCATACTGCAATACTTTAAAGCATTTTTTGATTGGTTAAGGGTGCTTCCCCATGACAGTCGGAATTTCGAAAAAACCGGAATCTCGGAAAAGTAATACGACCAATCAGAATCATTCGTTTGTATAATGTGCTAAACGTAAACAATTCTGATTAGTCGTATGACTTTTCCGAAATTCCGACTGTCGTGAGGAAGCATCCTAAGCCATAAAAAATTGACCAATTACAGTCGAATGCGAGACGAATAATTGACTATTGGCGTTTTCGGCCCGATCAGGTTAGTTTGCACCAACCTGGGTTCGATTAATCTTTCCTATTGGTTGATGTTACACGCTCTACCAATAGGAGACCACAAACAACGCCATTGATTCAACTCAGGTTGGTGTTAACCCGGCTGGATCGAAAACGCTATATGATTCGTCCATTTCTTATGGCTTAAGGTTCAAAAACCTATTGTAAATCGGGCTTATAGCAAAAGTCTGTGCTGCGGCCTTAAAAATGAATGTCGAACGTCAACATGAAAAGACACCTTAATCCGACAGATATCTTAGTCCGGATCTACAATAGGTGTTTTAAGCCATAAGCCGTAAGAAATTGACCAATTACAGTCGAATCCGAGGAGAATAATCGACTGTGATTCGTCCATTTCTTACAAAAGTCGATTATTCTCCTCGAATTCAACTGTAATTGGTCAATTTCTTACGACTTAAGGCTTAAAACTCTATTGTAGATCCGGACTAAGGGTGAAATCACACGGTGCGGAAAAAGACTGCGGAATAGAGAATGCGTCATTGAAGCAACCAATCAGCGCTATTCCGAATAGCGCTGAATAGCGTTGATTGGTTGCTTCAATGACGCATTCTCTATTCCGCAGTCTTTTTCCGCACCGTGTGATTTCACCCTAATTGGTCAATTTCTTACGGCTTAATGCGGGGTCTACAATAAAATTCGTAACAATCGTAGAGTCTTAAGTCGTAGAAAATTGACCAATCACAGTCGAATATGAGAAGAATAATCAATTGTGATTGGTCAATTTTCTATGACTTAAGACCCTACAACCGCTACGACTTCTATTGTAGACTCCGCATTAGTCTTAAAACACCTATTGTAGATCCGGACTAATCGGCGTTGATGAAACTGGCCCAAAATCTCGAACTTTGACGCTTGATATCTCGATTCACGAGGCCGACCGCCGCATTTTTTTTGCCAGATTCTTTCATTTTGAATAAAAACACGTCGAATGAGCCCAATTTCATCAACATCGGAGATGAGGCCCGTATTCTAAATAATTATCACACTTTTTTTACACTTTTTACACTTAAAATAAGATAGATATATATTTGGCGCTAAAAAGAGAAAACAAAGATGCTGTATATACATATATATGTATCTCTTCATCTCTTCGGCACGGTGACTTCGTGGAAATGAACGTGACGTCTGCAGAGATATTAGGCGCGATCTCGGTGCAATTTTCGAGACAATCGCGTTTCACGATGATTAATTTGAAAGCGAAATCAGGTATTACGAGACCTCGTAGATTATCGACGCGCAATTACGAAATGCCATCTCTGACTCCGACAGCGGTAAGTAACAAAATAAGTGATACTCCATATAATGAATAGTGTGCGACGTTGTAATGAGGCACGAAATATTTCTATTGGTGCACGAGGCACTTTGCGGGTACATGTTCGAATTTCAAATATTCAAATGAGACAGGAATCACGCGGGAGACAAGTGACGATCGCGTGAAAAACTGAGGATCTGCGAAATTGTGCGAAGTGCGAGGATGAACGTAACGAATGTTAAGTGATGTCAAGTAACTTGAAGTGTTAAATACAGCAAACAGACCTTCTCTTTCCTTTCTGTGTCGTTTTTTTCTGATTCTTGTTGCACGGAAAAGATTTCAAGGCATGAGAAAATCACCTACCGGTGTCATGTTACGTAAACTCATGTCGCAGAATTACCTGTGTTTTAACCTTGACCTTTTTGTTGCTCGACGCTTTTCAGTGATGGGACACGTTACGTCGGATCATACGATGCAGCAGGAGCTGACGTCCGATGGTGACACAACATGGAATCCACTCGACGCATTCCAGGATGGTGCACGTTGCGAATACGCGGTGATTGTGCTGAATCGTCCCATACGCTGGCAGCACAACGTACTACTAAGATTCTGGCAAAAAGGTTGTATACTGACTGAAAATATGCATATCTTGCGCTTCTGTCTTTGTTAGAGCCTCAGCAATCACAAAGATGATCGAAATTGAGTTGTGAAACATAGTCGTAGGTACAATGTTTTGTGTCTGTTCTACAATAAAATCGCAAGTCGTAAGCAGTAAGAAAGTGGCTAATCACAATTGAATATGAAACAAATAATCGACTATGATTGATTAATTTCTTACAGTTTACGGTTTGCGACCTTATTGTAGAACAGGTTTAGGTCAATTTACAACTACGATTTATGTTCCAAGACTCAGTTACAGCTATCTTTGTGTTTAGGCTCTTACTCACTGAATGTTAAGAAAGATAGAATGATGCTTATGTCGAATTGTATCACCAAATGGAAAGCATTCTTTGGGATTGATGAGAAACTGCAAGCAAGCGAATTAATTTACATTGTTGATTTATATATCTCTTTGTACAAGCAGCTCGAATCACTGTTACCGTGGATGGTGGAACACAGAGGTGGCTGAAGTATCTGGAAGAACAGGAAATAAACATATCGAACATCGAGCACAAGCAATATGTACCGGATCTCATCACAGGGGATATGGATAGTTGTCCACCTTATATCGTTGAGAAGTTTGCAAGTATAGGATCCACCATCATCAAAACGCCTGATCAGGATAACACGGATTATACCAAAGCTCTGCTGGAAGTTGCACACTATGTTAAGACACACAACATAAATGTAATCCTTTAGATTCTTATTATTGCTCTTTTTAAACTAATGGTTGTATATAATGAAATATATGAATGATATTTTTTGGCAGTTAGGTGAAATATACGTACTTACAGAAACATCAGGCAGGTTTGATCATATCATTGCCAACATTAATACTTTATACAGAAGTGACGAGCTTGTGGGAAATATACGGGTAGAATTTTTATTTCATAGACAAACTTGCGACTATGTCTCCATATTAGGTATTCTGATATTGTTTTTACAGGTGATACAACTTGCAAGCAATTCTATGACGTGGATATTAAAACCTGGTATGCATAGTATACATATACCAGAAATTTTGGTACAACAGAAATCTTGGTGTGGTCTACTACCGTTTGGTTGTACCGTCAATTGTATATCAACAACTGGTTTGAAATGGAATTTAAGTATGTTTTATATCTCATTTGTTCTATCTTGAAGTAAACCACTTTACCATGTTACTTAAATATTTAATCTGTTACATTTGAATAATTTTTTAAAATTCTAATTCTATTTTTTTATATTTTAGATAAAACAACTATCCAATTCGGTGGTTTGATAAGTACTTCAAATACTTATGAAGATTCCAAAGTGACTGTGAATACAGATACGCCGGTAATTTGGACCATGGGTATAGAATTTTTAGGGAGAATATAAATGAAGTATAATGTTATTCTGCTAATGTGATTATAAGATAATAATGCAGATAAATGATGCAAATTCAGACATGATTTAAGTCAAACATGCTAAATATTAACTAAAATACTTAAAATGTTCTATTTGAATAACAGTAGTAAACTGGAATGATAATTTTTAATTTAAAAAATCAGTTTTAAATAAGAGTGCTTTCTAGGAACGTACAGGCAACATTGTAACACAGTGTATGATACTGATAATCGATACTTTTTTTTTCCCGACATTTTGTCTTTCGATATTGATGTGTATTGACATTTGGACAGGAATATTGAACTTCCGATATAGTCCGTTAAGCCCGTGTTAATATAATATGGATTGAGATTGGATTGAAAGTTGATTAATCAGAGCAAAATTGATTAAACTTTAAATTAGTTTTTCTATTGGTGCGTTCGGGGGAGACGCTATTAGCGCTATTTTTGTCATTCTTTTTTTGTCGTTTATTAGACAAAACAAAGAAAATCATGGACAGAGACTTCCTTATGGAGGATATGAAGTTTTCCTCACCCAGAGCTCCTATGGGTGTTGAATTCCAGAATTCCAGGGTGTTAAAAAAAATGTTAATTTTTGACAAAAAGTATTCGGCTAAAGTATATATGTAGAAATATATTTTGCATATACATAGGTCGTCTGAAAAGTTTTGAGCCTCAACATCAAGATGATATTACTCGTCAAAACAATTTTGGTAAAAAAAAATTGTTTCTATGTTAGGCTCAAAACTTTTCAGACGACCCTCGTACATCAAAAGAGAAAATATATTTGAAATCCCTCCTGTTTAGATTTTAAAATAAATATTTATGCAGAATGATACGAATAGCGCTAATAGCGTCTTCCCGAATGCACCTTATGGCTCCTGCTCAAGGCCATGTTCGAATTCCAGTCTTTTTATTTTACTTTAGCGGTGAAATAAAATAGTGTATGGCCGTAGGTTTGTTTGCGTCGCAAGCTCCAACATGTTCTTACCATAGTTCCTACTCACTCTGGGAGCTTTCCAACAAGCGACACTGTGCGACACAGCGATCACCTTATCCTTGTTTAACATTGGCGAACAATAAGGATGCAACGATTCACCCTGTGTCACTCTGTGTCTCTTGTTGGAAAGCTCCCTTAAACAAAAAACAGAATTGTATTAAAATATATATTATAAAATCTATAAAAAATGCAAATGGCAAAAATAATTGTTATATAATACCACATGTATAAGATAAAAATGCTCTAGAGCGTTAAAAGTTTGACAACCATGAGTCAGACTCTGTGTTCGACTATGCTTTTCGATTGTGTCTAATCGTGCCGTGGCGAGTCGTTGCTGGAAAGCACCATGTCGAACACCGTGTCGACTTGTATGTCGTTTAAAGCCTTGATGGAAAATACCCGCTTCTATATTGTGTCCAATCGTGCTGTAGCGTGTCGTTGTTGGAAAGAATCATTTCCAACACGTGTCACCTAAAAACCTTGATGAAAAGCTCCCTCTATCAAGCGCGTTGGAGTGAGTAAGAGCTATAATAGGAGCATATTGGAACATGTTGGAGTATGCGACGCGAACAAATCTCGTGTTCCATTGCTGGAAAGCACCCTAATTTTCTGTTGATGTTGGTACCATTGTGTATCATCTCTACCTATTAAAATAATATGTGATAATAATGAATTGAATCATTTTTATTTATACACACGAGTCTTGTTTGGAAATAGAGTTACCATTTATAGCATAAAAATTGATTAGTCAATCATAAATTATGTACAGTATCATACGAATGATATTGTATTTATGTTAGCTAGAAATTTATGAATTTTTATTACAACTATTTTACAATATCAAGTATCAGGTGCTTTTTAACAATGGGACACAATCGTATCTGTGTAACACGATATTTTCTAACAACGTACACATATGACACAGTGTAATACTGTCTTACATAAAGTGTTCCAACTATGACACAGAGTTATACTGCTCGACATTAAAAAGCTAGGTACGAGCGTGTGAAATATATCATTATTACCAACTTTTCAGAAAGTTATTTGGTAGCCGTACTTATTTTGCAATAAAACCGTAAAAAATCGCTAATTTTGAAAAAATTACAGCTTAAGTCTAAATGAAAATCATAAATCTCTATTATTGATTTGCTAAATATAATCATAAGAATAAGAATGGAAGACTACAATGCATTCTGGCGTTACACTATAAAACTGAACTGCATTCCAACAAGTATTTTATACAGTAATGTTCTGTGTCCTAGCTGGAAAACAGCCTTGTGCCATTTGTGTCTTTGCTGGAAAGTACCTAGTGTCGACTTATAGTTGAAACGATTAACTTTTTTATTTTTCTGCTAGAATGAAATAGAGAAGGTTTCACATATCTTTTGATACGAATATATCCGAATGTAATCTTGAAATCTCTTATCGGGATATTTCTAGAAAAAAAATAAATGTAAAAATTTGGTATTCATGAAATGATATAAAACGACGACACACTCGAACACAATACTTTAGCTGTGATTGTGTTGATTTGTGTCACAGTTGGAAAACACAATCGTGCACTGTGTTACATAGTATCGTGTAAGTTGCTGGAAAGTACATGTTATCGGGCATTAATTTTTAAATATAGGTTTAATATTTTTGGTTGCAATTGTTGCGAGATGTAACGAAATAATCTTGTACTGTTACGTTTGCATTTCAATTTGGATAATATTAGTTAAAAAAAGAGTACAAAATATAGTTTATTATGCTAAGTTCCTATTTCGTTTGCGCGTATGAAGCCAGAGTTACTTATTACTGGTAAAGTCACATGACATTAATGTATGATTGTACTAATTTATCGATTCCAAAACAGATTATAGTTTTATACTACACAATCTTTTACTTAAGAGTATTCTTTTATTTAAAGCTTTTAACTTTTATTCAAAACTTTTTCTTTTATTCTGAGCTTTTATAAAAACAATAGTTTTTTAATTAATTTTTTATAAACAGATTTATAAAATACTTAATAAGAGTCGAACTCACGATTTGCTATTGACGAATCGATTACTACACAGAACCAAAGTCAAGTGACGTAACATTTTAATTATTATAGTAATATATGATTTTTTAAACTAATTTTTTTTTATAGAGATTTGATTAAAAAAACTTACTTTATTTTCATTTATGCGTTTGTTTTTCATAGAATGTATCATTAGATTTCTGATCTTTACTACATGCGGTGCTAATTTAGCTTGTAATGAAAAACAATATTTGTCTAGGTAACACAAAAGTCTAAAAGATATCGTAAAGACAAAAGTCCTTTTTTTAATTTTTTAAAATTTTAAATAGATATTTTAGAGCTTTGTGTTGTCTGGACAATCAAAATATTTTTTACATTGCACACGATTTGTATTATTTCAATAAATTTTTGTACACAGATAGCACATGATGTAAGAAGTATATGAAAATATACCTCGTTAAATTTTGAATGTTTCTAGGTAATACAACGGAACGTGTTTATTGCAAGTATATACTTGGCACAGTGAGAGCGTCGAGTCGAAATAGTATCCCCCAGACAGTACCTGTCTATAATACTCGACGTATGTATTCGTATAACAGCAGGTCGCTACCGCCACTATCGGGGCTAGAATCGGAGCGTGTACTTCGGCGATCAGCTGTCGCGAATGTTTACATTCGTCGGTCGAGTGCCGGCTCGTGGTGGGGTTGAGACCACCGTCCAGTTTCTTTCGGCCTGTCGCGTCGTGCGGTTCACGTAATCTACAAGTGCTTATCGTGTCTTATCGTCGCGCTGTCGCGCGGTATCGAACAAATGCCAGCGCGCACTTTTCTGTGCTTTCCAGAATTGGGTAAGCTTGCAACCCACCACTGACGCGACTATAAGTCATAGCGATGCATGAGAGGACACGTATCTATGACAAAATATTGAAGATATTTATTTAACGAGTATTATACAGCGATTATAAAAATATAATATGTTTTGAATTAGTATCTGAGCTAATACGCCGGTTAAAAGAGATATATTTATGGCATTAAAAACGATTTAAAAACGATTGTTGCTACAATGATAAGTTTATATTGGTTTATATTCTTATAATGTTATGCTGATCTAATATTTTTATTTTTATATCATTTGATAATTTAATGGATTTGTACCGTTTCTATATTAACTTTGAATACGTGTATTCGTCCTTAAACGGGTTTGTTTCTAAGATCGGATGTAACGTATAATAACCCATTTAAATAGATAAAGAGATTGTTGTCGTAAATGGCTTCAGCAGTTGACTGTTAAATTGTACCGCTATTTGAAAATTAAAATCATATATCGAGGTAGAAATTGAAGTAGAATCAATGATACGGAAATTTTTATATATTTGGTGTAGAAGAAATTCAATAGAAATTAAAGATTTTTACTATACGATATTTTACTATAAGACGAAACTTTGGAGTAACTCAGATCTATTTTTATTGCTTGTCTTTTGACAGCTTTGAGATGTCTGTGAATGTTCTTGTATCTATGATCAAAATACGATGTTTTCTCTTTTTTGTTGTGGATGTAGATGTTACAAGACTTTTTTAAAGCTACGAGTGCTTATGTTACGAATTACTTCATAAATGTACGTATATTTAATCATACAAAATTTACTCATTGATAAAAATGATAATAATAATATTTGTACAACCTTCCAAAAAATTGATATATTTTAAACAAAGTTCTAGATACAAGCGACTGAAATAAAACTTAAAACGGTTGAGTGATGGAAATCCGAGATGATGCACAGGAATCGCGGCTCACAATGCGGGAACTCATCTCGGGACCTCGTACGCTCTCAAACTTCAAACAATTGGCTCCTCTATTTCGCTCGGATTGCCTCTCGTGCTTCTCGTGAGACGCGGAGCATGATTTTCGACAGATACTCGAGGGGCCTCGCTAGACGCACTTTGAACGCCGACGAATAGTCGAGCTTGGCTCCGGGTGCCGCGGCTCGAGCCACCGAAATGGTGTCAGACACCGAGTGTAAATAACCTTATGAACGTAAGAATAGACGTACGAGAGACGAATCGGGTTTATGTATCTCTTGTGCCTTGCGCTAGAGAAAATTCACGGCGGTCGTGTGACGGGAATCCGATTTTAAACCGGCGCGGTTTTATCTCTCCTTGCTTACTTCAGGCACTTTGGCCTTCATGATAAATTGCATAATAAACAATAATTTCTTTGTCTTCTTTTAAAAACAAAACGGTATATCGAGCGCGAACGAAAATTCAGTTTGAAATTGCGACGTGGTTTCAGATTTATGGACCATAAAACTTGTTTATCTATAAACTCGAGTCTGTTACACGCCATTGTGTGAAGACTTGTGGATGAATTCCGTGCAGATATGAATTTTAATTTCTGCAATATATAATAACATCGATTTTATCGTCTATTTTATTTTTGCATTCAGCTGTGGTAGTGTTAATCTTTACGCTTGTCTGCGAATCTTGCTTGATCTCGCATGAGCCAAGTCAAGTAATTGGCGAGATGCTTTCGATTATACAGAGACTTGTCTAATCAAGCTACGGAACGAAACTCGAGTTTAGGTGCAGGATAACTAAAAAATTGGCAGTTTTCCCATTTAATTAATATTAAATTTTCATCGGATCATAAACGACGTTGATGTGCGTACCGTCTGTCTCTGCGTCTAACGTTAAATTTGATAGGCTGAGTTTCGGTTTACATTGCTCTCTGAAAAGTAATAAATCAAAGGAATGAGATTATCTTTTAGAGATATAAGGCGCAAGAATTACGCTTTTATCGAGATATAGTGAGAACCACGTATTTTTTTCTAATTCTGTGATTTACTGAATTTTTAAGAGTAAAAAACACTTTTTACATCAGTTAATGATTTCAACTTTAGATAAGAATAGATATATCTAATAATAATATGATTTAATGATGTCGACTGCAATAGCTATTTGCGATAATAGTTCCTTATTGAAACGTTGAGGTATAGTATGTTGCATCTTATCTTCTTGATCAGCTTCGAGAGATAGTTCCTCATGGTGTGTTATTTGTGAAGAACACATTTCTGCCACAGAGAGCCCGAGAAGCGGGTTGATTCCGTGTACCGAGCGTACATAAAAAGCTGCATATATCTTGTATAAATAGCACCGGGGCATGTGAAGCAACATATACGTAGGGATCGGCGAACAACGAGCTCGTTCTACAGTCGGCTGGCGAAATATCGTGAATAGTACAAATATACGAAAGCGTTATATGTACCTGGGAGTGCGTATCTGCGTCGAGTCTATACGTGAGATTGTTACCGTAACAGCAGTCGTTGGAAAACTCTTTCATCTTTGCTTGACTGCAGTGCCAAGCTGGTCGCTTTATGCACGAAGTCGGATATAAATAAAACCCCTGGTATCGATTTTCCGCATGTCGAAGGGTGACAGAAGGGTCGCAGAAATTGTGATCAATATTGATTACATAGTCAATCACCTTGGCACACTCGTCGTATTTATCAGTTACCGACTACGATATTAGGATTTGCGCCAAGACGTACAGAGTATCTCGCAAAGTAACTTAGAATTTAGTAATTTGGAAGAACAATTTAGAATCTAATACTAATTTGGTAGAGTAATTTGGAATCAATTTTTTTTACAAAAAATAGAGCAAGCATTTATTTGACACTTTCAAGTTAACATTAAATATCCTTGTAATATTAAATATTTCCTTTTGTATATATATACATATATAATTCTCATTTATGTAAATCTAAAGTTTACGTGAAGTTAAAGAATAGATTTTATTCCATAAGTTTAATTCCCAAAGAATGTTCGATTTCAAATTGTTCTCCAATTTTAACTCCAAAGCTATCGGTTCACCAGTATTTTTGTCGTGCAAACGATTCTAAATTGATCAAAGAACCCTTAGATTAAAGCTATCTCTCTGACAGGTCTGGGGACACCCAACATTACGCAGTTTTCTGCGCGACTACGAGGTGAGGTAATCGAACGATTCATAGACCGTCTGGCTGTATATATACAGTATACATAATTCTGTTGAGAGTAAAAGTTCGATGCCCCTATCGGCGGTTCGTACTCTATCTAGTTTAGCTTCATCCTTCTTCTTTGGCGCAGTTTATTCGCTTTCTCTCAACACGTGTTTGAACTTAATTATCGAAGAAAAACTCGGAGGGAAAATTTATCTCTCCGGATTTAGCCAATTCTTTGTTTTTATATTTATATTATAATCTACGGATAATAATTTAACTGATAACTGTATAGATGAAAAGAAAAGAATATTCAACTTTTGCGTACGATATCATTGAATGTAAAATAGTTAATTATAGTTATATACTAAGTAGATGTTAATCTTAAATTAATTTACGCAAGCTTTTATCATAAATAATGATAAAATATGTACAAAATAAAAATAGAATGTAGTAAGAATACGAGCGTGTATAGTAAACAGATAACTACTCGTGACTACTTCGTAACTTTTAAAGACTCTTCTGTTATTATTATTATTATTATTTGGAAAGTTTCCGTTTACAAAATAACGATACTTTATTTACAGTGAAATAAGTAACTCGTTCAAGAACCGTGCTGTTTTATTTCAAGGTTGACGTTTCGAAGAAGTCGTTAGGAGATTCTTGTGTATGCGTGCGCTCGTGCATTTTGCAACTAAGCGATTATGTACACGATGAACGTAAGGTTTATTTAAAATTGCGAATTGTTTGGCTCTCACGCTATGGTAAAGCATGCATGATAATTTTGTTTATACAGAAATGAAGATTAACGTTTAGATCGTAAAACGGGCCGTTTATAATCTGTTCCTTCTAATGTTGCGGATCGAAAGAAAATGAAGTTCTTCAATTAATCTGAATTGATGCCAGATTCTTGTTTCTCTTCTTACCTTTCGACAGGGCTTTACTTCTCAGACTACTATATTGAAATTTGAAGAATTAAGAAAAGATATTGTTGCCGTATGTAAAGAAATGTATTTTCAATGAGATTATTCAAGAATTGTTTGAGTCTGATTTTTGTTGGAAGACAGTCTCGCTCAAATTTAGCCGAAGAATTCGAAGCATCTCATATATTCGTATGTGGCTCGTAAACAGCAGGAAAGACGACGCAACGTCCTTTGCCGTGGTTTTGTTGAGCAGATGGTCCGTAGTGCTTGTTAAAGTCACTCAGTGACTGATTGGTGTCCAAGGTTCCTGCTGCTTAGACATTTTGAACGTGTAACTCGGTCTTTCGCCAATCGCTTACGCGATTGCTTAATTTGGTACACGGTTGAGATTGATATGCAGCGAGCAATGTGTCCGCGCGAAAGGCCGCGATTATCCAGTGGATAACTAAGCAGCCTTTTTTAACAAGGTATATGACTGACGACAAGGACGAACAATCGTACAGTCGGGTTGAAGACGCGGTGATTAATTATTTTACGGCCGCAAATTCTAGAGCATTTCATGTTGCCATGAAAAATGGATTTATTTTAAAATCGTTGAATGTGTGTGTGTGTTCTTTAAATTATTGTTCATGGATCCTTTTAATTACAGATTCAATCAAAATAGTACCTTTTTCTTGAAAACGTCAATATAATTGGAATTTTTTTAATTCACATTATTTGAAAATAAAATGAATCAACTTGAAATTAATTATATATATATATATATATATATTCAATGTATTTATCTTGTTATTTTATTACTATTATTGAGACTGTGATAGGGTTAATTTATTGCTTTATATCTATCGAAACATTAATGTAGCTTTTGTCAAATTAATTTTATAAAAGCATACAATAAAATTTAAATACTAAACGTAATATAAATTATATTTTTTTTATCTCTGTAAACAT